GTGTGATTTTGCAAGAAAGAAGAAGGTTCAAGCTAAGGGGGGGGGCAGAGAAGATTGTAGATCTGTGTTATTCAAGAAAGGAGCTTCAGTTGGAGGTATCAATTTGACACCTTTCTTCCTTATTGTGTAGATCTCATCTCTTGAGGATTAGGGCTTGAATTACCTTGTTGATGGGGTTTTGAGTGCATCCAACCCCTTTTGTGAGCTGGTATTATAGATCTGGACCTTGTTAGGTCCAGAGAGTCCGAAAGTGTGAAGCCTTAGTTGTGCAACCATAGAGCTTTGAAGCTAGGAAGCATTAATGGAGTTTTAATGGTATATAAAGCAATATACACCATGCATGGACACCAAGATTGGACCTTTACGTGACTTTTGGATTTTAGGAGGCTAGATCTATGAGCTAGAGTTACAGATCTGACCTCAGACGATCAATTGAGAAATCCAATTGGGTCAACTCGCCGAGTCTATGAGACGACTCGGCGAGCCGAAGCGAGTTCGACCCAGTACTTGTGACCCAGTGATAGCCTGTCGAGTTAGGAGGGGTTAACTCAACGAGTTGTTTGAGACCCGTGAAAGAATTCAGAAGATACAGGTGGACTCGGCGAGTCTGGTCAAAATTGGACTGTTGACTAGAGTTGACTTCTGTTGACCTTAGGGTTTGGTCAAAACGACTAAGAAAGGTCAGGGAGGGGTAGAATGTTATTTTACCCATTCTATAGGAATAAGAGTGTAAGGAGTGTATTAATTAGAAGTCTTACCCTTGTGACAGACGGAGGCGAGATCGAGGATTTCGAGCACGAGATTTTACTAGCTAACTTACGAGGTGAGTCTTCTCACTATACCTTACCTATAGTGGTAATTGTGTGTGACCGGAAGGTCTTATGTGCTTATAAGGGTTATGTGATATATGTTTTTATGTGATATGTATATGTTATATCCTGAGTTTGCATGGGTTGGACTGGAAGGTCAACAGAGTTTGGACCGGAAGGTCAACAGAGTTTGGATCGGAAAGTCAACAGAGTAGGACCGGAAGGTCTACAAATTTAGGACCGGAAGGTCATCATGGGTAGGACCGGAAGGTCTACCAGAGTCGTGGGACCGGAAGGCTCCACTGAGACACATTGACCGGAAGGGTCTCGCAGAGTTATAGCCCCGAGTGGCTAATTATGTGTACGTGGTATTTTGGGGAACTCACTAAGCATGCGTGCTTACCGTGTTATGTGATATGTGTTTCAGGTACTTCAGAGGATCGCGGGAAGGCACCGGCATGATTGTACACACTGGCGAGAGATTGTTTATGATTCTGGGATTTGATTTTATATGTGTGGAATTGTTGACATTTGAGATACTTATGATTTTGAGAATATAAAACTGAGTTTTATTGTGTTTGAAAATGAAAAAGTTGTTTGAAAAATTACGTCGTTACATTAAATAGGTGTCAAGTCCGAGGATTAGGGTTTTGAATATTCGTCATGTACGCCTCGCGTACCCTTTGGTACGCCCAGCGTACGTGCTGACCCTCCGCGATCATCCATCCTTAGTACGCTAAGCGTATTCTTGAAGTACGCCCAACGTACTTAAGGGACCATTATGTTATACTTTTTCAGTTCAAGGGTACAAAGGGTATTTAACTTATTTGGAGTGTTACATGAGCAAAAGGGTCCAGAACCTTCCTAGGGGAAGGGTGGACGAAATTATATGATATATATAAGATTATTCTAGAATTTCTAGAATATCTTATCATATATGGATAATCAAAGGAGGTAGATAATTATCATATCTGAGATAATGATATTTTATTCAGATTATGGTTATTCATAGCATCATTGGTGCACTATATAAAGGGTTCTAAACCCTATGATTTTCGGCCAATCATTCTAAGAATAAGAAACCGAAAATTCCTTCATCCTCTCTCATATCGTTCTCTTTCATTGTGTGTTTGTGAGCCATTAGAGGTGTTAACACTTGTGACAATAAGTTCTCAAGCTTCAAGATTTACAAGGGAATCATTGTTATTACATTATAAAAATCAAGTTATGTAACCTAACCCTAGTTTTATGTTGATTTCGAAAATTATAGTTACATCCTTGGGTTTCTCCTTTTGTGTTAAAAGTTTGCATGTTCAATTAGAGAAAAACCTAGATCCAAAGCATTAGCGTTGCATGCACACATAAGAATTGTTGTTATGCTCGAAACCCATCAGAGGTAGTTGTTGGGATTCTATTGAGTAGTTCAGGTGAGTCTCTTCACTGTACTCGTGGGTCGAATGCACCAATGTCGACCCACTGGATTTCGTTTGTAGGATGATAGTTGTCTTTTTGACACTTGCTGATATACCTGTATGTACTTGTTGTCTTTGTGACTCATGCTGATATGCATGTATGCTTATCAGGCCCGACCCCATACATGGGCAACTTGGGCTCAGGCCCAAGACAACAAATAGTCCAGCTAGTTATATGTATAATATATATATATATATATATATATATATATATAACAATGGCCCAAAAACTTAGCCCATGGTGATGATCTGTTTACCGACGTCGTGAGAAAGAAAGTTGGGGAAGACGCGCCAATTCCAAGCAATCATCGATCTGCTCATTGAGAAACCAAACGTTGCTCATGCCTAGAATCCCGTTGGTGTTGTTGTCCATGTTCTCTTATATACTAGCACACATCAAGTAAGGACCATACCTTAATTAAACATGCAAGTATGGTCATGTAAGAAAGCATGGAGTGAAACACAAAACCAAACACACAATCCTCCCACTCCACGGAGGATTCATAACAACTAGGTGGAGATGGGATGGGTGGTGTGTCTTTCACAAAAGCTCATGAGTAGCATGTTCCATGTTATATCAAAATAAAATACTAAGGGTCCAAAACAAATATACATGACTTATATATTCATACCTTTACGAATATAACTAGTTTTTGTTTTTTTTTATTATTATTTCCTAGAAATAATAATTCTCAATTTAAATACAAGTGTTGATAATATTTATTAATAATCAAACTACTTTAATAAATTATCAATAAGTAGCAACTTTCTATAAGGTGTGAACATATAGGATCATACGCTGTTAGCAAATATCCTTCTATAATGGCTCTTAGGCATATAGATCTTTCAATATGCAGATGTTATAGGGTGTTTGTTTGGATAGATCAGTTTAATGTGATCTGATCAAGTGAATCCAAACTGATTTCACTTTTCAAAACGTGGATCCAAATAGTCCAAACCATGGTTGTGAAGATCCCGATCTCACTAGGATTTATCTGAAGCAAAATCTATTTTTAACACGATCTGATCCTACCTCTTTAGTTTTATTATATAGTCGAGCCTCAAAAATCCGTCTATTCAACTTGAAATTGAGTATCACAAGTTACATGAAGTCTCATAGAGCATCATCACTTCATCAATTTATCTCTACATGTTATACTAATGATATTCCTTTTTGTGGTCTTAAGCCATTAGTTGTACATGATCACAATGATCTTGTTTCTTTTTGCAATTAAGATGTTTTCTTCGTAATTTGTATGGTTTACAGTAACAAAAGTTATGATTCATGCTTAAAAAGTGAAAGTTGATTCCATATCAACATCTTAATGTACATCAAGTATAATCTATAATGCACATCTAAGCCCTTATGAACAAATTTGATCATGAGTTCATTTTAGTGGGATCTTCCGATCCCGATCTGCTCTTACAATCACGATATTGTAATACATAAAACAATCTTGGGTAAGATCCTGATATTGACAACTTTTCTCTAAAGTAAATTCAAATCCGATCCGATCCAACCAAATTATAATTTGATTGGATCGGTTTTTAGAATTCAGTTTTTAAGAATCATGACATTTTAATAAATATATAGCTCTAGTATTAACCAACTCTATAATAGAAACTAGAGAAAATTGTTTAATTAGTTTTGAATTAAAATTTATAAACATCTACCAAAAAAATATCTTATAGTTTATTATTTTATAGACAAAAAATGTTTGATAAGAAATATATATTAAAGTATTATAATGGTAAAAAAATTAATCTACTAAAAGAAAATTTTAATTAATTTATAAATTATTAAAGATATATATTAAATATAACAAAATAATAATTTTTTATTTGTTTTTTTGGACTATTCTGTTTTATTTTATAAACAAAAACCAATCGGATTTTCAAAATAATAATTTGGTTTCGCTGAAACCAGTCAAAGTCTGAATATTCGAGTCAAATTATCCGATTAAATAATTGGTTTTGTCTAAATAATTAACACTCCAATTGAAGAAGACAAAATTGCAAAAATGGTCCCTGTGCTTATGCATTTTTTTGGGGTTTTAGTCCAAACTTCGACTTTTTTTGGATTGGTGGTCCTTTTGGACTCGTTTGTATGTGAAAATGGTCCATCCGAAAATTGAAATGACTAAATTGCCCTTTTGATATATTTTTTTATATTTTTTTCTATTTAACTTAATGTTTTAATAATAATAAAATGGGGCCCACACCCCAATCTCTCTCTCTCTCTCTCTCTCTCTCTCCTCTCTCTCTCTCTCTCTCTCTCTCTCTCTCTCTCGTGCGCCATTAACAAAAGCTCCACAATTTTGACCTGGAAAGATTGAGCCTTTCTTTGAATTGATCGGGTCAAGTTATTTCTACTGTATGCGTTTTGATTTCTTGAACCTAATTCCACATATAGATCTTTTCTCGTATAGCAATTTTGGGATATGTTTTTAAGCAATTGAGGGTTTATTTCTTGATGGCATCATCTGCGATTAAGCATGTCGGAGATCACCACCGGTGTCGATCTTCCGCAAGGGACTTACCGGCGGGATGCTGTAATCTTGTGAAGGAGCAGGGACCAGTGACAATCGAACATGTGTTATTGGTGTTGAGAGAGACAAAAGACGAGAGAGAATCACGATTTCGGAGGTTTTTTAATTTCTTTGATACATCAAACGCATGGTACTTGGATTCCGTTTAGATCGGGGTAGGGCTACCGGCGATGCAAATTTCGACGGATTACAAGTACGTGAAAGAGTTACTTAGGGTTTGCGATGCAAATAGGGATGGAAGAGTTGATTATCAGGAGTTCAGAAGGTACATGGATGACAAGGAGCTTGAGCTTTATCGTATTTTCCAAGCCATTGATGTCGAACATAATGGTTGCATTTTACCGGAAGAGCTCTATGATGCTCTCGTAAGGCTGGTATTCTACCATACTTCCCCCTTTTATCTTCTCTGCAATTTACTTCCATTTTTCCATGAATTTTATAATTCTGTAATCAACAAGAACAAATTCAAACACCCTTCGAGTTGTCTTCCTCTTATTAGCCATGACATCTTTTCTTCTGCAGTGATAGAACTTGACGATGACGAACTAGCAAGCTTGAAACCACCTTTTATGTTCTCTGCAATTTACTTCCATTTTTCCATTAAGTGTATTTATTTTTGCAGGGATCGTTTTTCTCTCCCAAGCCTTCCCTGCCACTGCCTCGTTCGTGATTAGCCTTCTCGATCAAATGAAAACCAAGGACTGGAGCTCCCTTTTCCCGTCGCCCATCGAATTGCTAATAAGTGCTGAAATCTTGCAGATTGTTGTCAATGATTCAATGTTATTTAGACATGAATCTTGCAGAGGTGGAGGAGAAGATAGATTGATGTATGAGATTGAAGAATATGATTGTTGTGGTGTGTATTGAAGAAGTTGTGTGGGTTTTTTTAGGAAGAAGACGATTATACATGAGAGAGAGAAGAGGTGGGCCCATTTTTTATATTAATAATAATAAAAATTTTAAAAGTGAAAGAAAAATGAAAAATAAATTCATTAAGGGTATAATAGTCTTTTTAGTTTGGACAGGGACCACAACTGCATACAAACTAGTCCAAAAGGACCTCCAATCCAAAAAAGTCGAGGTTTGGACTAAAACCCAAAAAAATGCATACCACAGGGACCATTTTTGCAATTTTTTCATTGAAGAATTACAATTTGGTTTTGTCCAAATAATTAACATAGGATATGTATATTTGGTATACTAGGTTTAAACCCGTGAAACTCCACAGTTTAAAAATTGAAATATAATTAAACTTTTGATAGTGTAAATAAAAAGATATTAAATTTTAGAAATAATGAAAAATTATGATATTGTAATGTAATTAACATGAATAAATCAAATACAATAAAGTATTATAAATTAATTAATTAATATGATGGATGAAATGTGATACACGAAACAAATAAAGCTGGTAGAAAAACGGTTCTTATAAATTCTCAAAAACCTCCTTATAAACGACATTGAAAGTTTTATTTGTGAGACTACCATCCTTATCTAAAATTAACAATTTTAATCCTTCCCTGCTTTAACTCTAATAGCAACATACAATTGGCCATGTGAAAGACGGGAATGTTGTGGAGAAACAAACCAACCTTTGATAACGACTGTCCCTGACTCTTATTATTGGTCATTGCAAAACATACAGCCAATGGAAACTGTCTTCTTCGGAATTTGAAGTGATGAGACAATGAATCAAGTATTGAACGAATTAGAGTGTAAATTCAAAGTAGAATTGAAAGATTTGAACACCGATGTAAATATGATCTGTTTGGCTCTATTACGCTTTTGCAAATTTTACAGAGTACAATCAATATTCTGTAAAGACTTCGTTACTAAGACACTAGTAACCACTCCTATTTATAGAAGAGAAAAGCGTACAAAAAATATACTAAGGACTAAACATGAAGCTTCGAATATTATGCCCTAGTAAAATACATTACAAAAATGTTCGAAGACCCTAAATACAAACTTCGACTATTACAACATTTCGACCCTAACAATCTCCCCCTTTGTAATCAAAGTCGAAGTCTTCAGTTTGTAAGTAGAGTAATGGAGTACAGCAAAACTCTTCGAACCTCAGTATACCAAGAAATAATTTTCTTCAATTCCTTCTTGTCTCCTTCATTGTTCTTTTTGCAGTGGTTCATACGAACAATCAAGTTCGTATATTGAGATGTAGAATATCTCTCCACTTCGCTAGCTTGGAACAAAAACCGCTTCGCTTTTCCAGCTTTATCCTTTCCAGCAAAAACTATTCCAAATGGCTTTAAACATATTTCTCCATCAGCATATTTCTTTAACTCAGTCTGAGTCAACGAAGGAGCCATTGGAACTTTTACTTCCATTCCCTTTGCAGTAGCCAACTCCACATCAGTCAGTGCTAGGCACTCATAATAATTCTCAATGAAGATTTTGATGTGAGCAACTCCAAGTTTGAATTCCTCTGGATCTGTGTTTTGCAGAAAAGAAAAGGATCTATCTTTCAGAAGCAATGCCACTTGTATAAGGTCATACAAGTTCATCAGAGGAAAATCTGCAATAGTGAATTCGCATGTTTTTCCATTTGCCCTGGCCACAACATATTTAACATTTTGAACAATGTTTTCAAAGACCACATCCTTTTTCATGCTTATCACCTTCTTGATCTTGATCAGTGACCAAACATCCTCAGGGGCTTTGCCAAGTACTGCATGAAAACGAATTTTCATATGAGTCCCTTCATCTTTTTCTTTGAAATTCCCTTCAGCTTTGAACTGAGGCATGATGAACATCATCTCATTTATAGGGAAATCCAACTGGCATGCATCAGTGTTTGTAACCACATAACTCTGTTTTGGCTTCTTATCAAATGAGTACATGTGATTAAAGGCAACCAAGGCTTCGATTGTTTCATAGTTGTAATGTTTTGCTGGATCACCTTTATTCATGCCCTTCGGATCACCAGCCCTCTGAGTCATGATGCTTTGAATAAGCCTCATTTTCTCGAGTTCAGCTTCAGCTTCAGCCTTCTTTTCTTCTTTAGATTTTTCAACCAGAATTGATTTTCCTTTGTCTTTCGAAGCAGATTTTTCAGTTACGTCTTTTAGCTTCGAACCACTTCCACCAGATTCCAAAGGTTTACCATTACAATTCCTTTCGAAATTGTTCTTGTAATTGGTAATGTTGTTACGATTGTTGAGGTCACTGGTTGAGCAGACACAATTACTGGTTTTGTTGAAGGGATGCTAGATGAAAATACCTTGCCCACCACTTTCGCTTCTTCTTCTTCTGACTTCCTTTCTCCCCCTTGCACCCCTGTGAAACAGGAGGGGCAGTAGTTGTGGGAAGAGACTGGATATGCGAAATAGTGGAGCAAGTTGCTTGTTAAGTATGGCTTCGAACTGCGCACAAACTTCTGGGATAAAATTTCTGGAGTAATCAACGGTGACGAAACGGTTTCGTTGAGATCTCCTTCAACTCCTTTAACAACTTGATCACACCTTCAAAATTTTCACTTTCAGACTTGGAGATTTGAGTTATTTGAGGACTCAAACCTTCGTATAGCTTGACAAATCGAGTGACAGCATCACAAATGATATCGACCTTCTGATTCAAGGACGCATAATCATGTTGAACAGATAGAATTTCCTTTTTCATGTCTTCACGAAGTTCGTGAATTTGGGAGTTAACATCCTCCCTCACTTTCTTGACTTCCTGAACAAAAAGAACATGTCGTTCTTTTGTTATGCTTCGCAGATCCTTAACTTCTCCCATAAAATCAGATCTGAGAGTTTTAACACGAAGCTCAGAATTCTGATCTGTGTAATCAACCTTTTCTAAAATAACAGACTCTGAGGCTTTCATCATTCCAGAAACTTTGTTGATTACTCTTGATTCAAACATCTTGAGCATAGAATCAACCTCCAAACTTGAAATAGATGACCTCCGCCAAGATCAGCTTGGGATTGAATGATGGAGTTCAACTTTTGATTAAGAATTTTGTATTGCTTCATTGTCATTAACATATGATCAGGAAATTCTTCTTCTTCATCATGAAACTCTAGGTCTTCGAATGTTCCACCAAACCCTTCATTATCAGTTTCAGTGGGTGAAGATGGTTTGGGTGTATCAGTGGATTGAGAGGAAAAATGGAAGTAATTGGTTGATTGATGATATGTTCAAAGGTTGGTGAAACAGTGGTTGATGTGAGAGGAATAGTAGATGTTGGTGTAACAGAAACCAATGATTCGAAAGGAGTAGAGATAATTGGACCTTGATCTGCATCTTTCGAACCACCTTCACCCATGTTGACATTTGCATCCGTATCAGATACGTGTGCAGGGATGCCCTGAAGTTCGAAACCTCCTCAAAATTGACTTGGCAATCGAAACTTCGGGTGGTATGATAACAGTCTTCTCAGGAATGGAACTTGTAATGATAGAAGTGAACTCTGGAGTTTCTGGTATTCGTTCATCCTCTTCTGTAGACTCAGTAGATAAAACAATCTTTCGAGTCTTCTTCGTCTTCTTCTTTTTCGGTTGTGACAAGTGTTTTTGCCATATCTTCTGCTGCTCTTTTCTTGGATCCGGGAGAAACAGGAACAGGTACCTCACGAATTAAAACTCCTTGGTGAGTAATTTGAGGCTTGCGAATCAACTTCTGTGATGGTGACTTTCGTTTGTGAGTGGATTTCATCTTGATTCTTCGAAACATCCCTGTTTTCGAAGGAATAATCACGTTCTCTTGAGTCTCTTCCACTATTGGCTCAATCACTTGTGTTGCTTCAACTGTCACTGCAACATTTTCTGTCTTCTTCTTTGGAGATTTAGAGGATGTTGAACCCTTCGTTTTCTTTTCAGGTGAAGCAGGATCAGGCTTTCCTTCGACTTTTTGGTCTTCTTTTCGTCGCGTGGCAAACAAAATTCCCGTAGGATAGAAGAATCGAATGTTTTCAGATATGCAATCAAAACAGGATTCGAAGGATCCACCCTTTTAAGCATCGCATCTGGAATCCGAGCAACGTTTGGAAATTCATCATCATTGTCAACAACTTCCTTCGGAAAGTGATAAGATTGAAAGTAACCTTCTCTTCTTCATTTGAAACCAAGATGCCTTCCTTGTTGTAAAAATGTTGCAGAATTAGACTCCAGTACCTAGCACACGAATGCCATGAACAACATTCGTATGTTCTACTCCTTTTTGGAATTCCTTCCATAGCTGTGTAGAGTAGTCTGCTGGAAGATCATAGTATAAACCAGCCACCATGGCATAAACCTCCATCCTTCCTTTATCTAATCCAACTGTTCTTCCGGTTAAACAACGCAAAAATATCCCAAACAAAAAATTCCATACTTTTGGAAGACCAGACTTCTTAAAGTCACTTATCTTTGACAATGGGGGCTGATATCCCATTTCATTAAACATATGAATTATTTGGGAGAATTGAAATTCAACAAAAGGAGGTGTATTTGGAATGTCAAGAATCTGACAAACAGTTTCTTGGAAAGCCTAACCTTTTTGTCATGATTAGGTGAAAAGTAATCGAATCAGAGGCTTTGTTGTATGTGGCAGTAGATCTGCGTGAGAAAAGCCAGGATACGGAACAGAAAGAGAATTGAACATTGCTTTGGATAAAACAGAGTGTTTAAAAGAAATCAATAAGCATCTTGAATTCTTTGGACATTGAGAAAGTAGATCTTCAGTAGAAGGATCGACATGAGCAGTAGTCGCCATTGTTAGGGTTTGAAAAAGATGAAGAACAAGAGATTTGGGAAGTTTTGAGTTTTGATCGCGTAAAAATATAAAGTACTCTTGAACCCCCTTTTAATATGTAACCTAAATGATTGAATTATGAAGCGGGATACATTAATGAGAGCCGACGTGGCACC